ACACATACCAAATGAAAAATCCAAGGCATAAGGGTTATTTTTGTCCCTATAAAAATTAGCTGACCCTATTCCCATATGTAATGGAGTAAGGGGGAGGTAGGGTAATAGGCTGCCCCAAACTCCAGGTTGAGAGCAACTTCCTTGAAAGACCTCCGTTATGAATTGTCCTCAGTGAGACTCGATCCCACGACCACAAGGTTAAGAGCCTTGTGATCTACCAACTGAGCTAGACAGACAAGACTTTTGTCCCTATAGTAAACTTAATTTATCATTTTTGTCCCTATGATATTTTCGCATCAATCTAGTCATCGAAGTTGTTTAATTGCTTCATTTTAAACCCGAACTTAAAACTTTCAATCATAAACCCTAAATCATGAACTATAACTTAAAACACTAAACAATAGCAAATATTTTAAACATTAATACGATTAAGCAACTTCGTAAACTAAATTGATGCTAAAATACTATAAGAATGAAAATGATAAATTAAGTCTACCATTGAGATAAAAATATCCATTAACCGAAATTTAACATCGCAACACATCATTTTTATTTTTTATTTGTGAAATACTTTATTATTTTCTTGAGAAAAATCAATTTGTTAAATTTATCCATTTTCCCAAATGTATAGGGACTAAAACATCTCTTACAATAGTAGAGACTAAAATAAACATTTTGGTATAATAATGAGGTTTCTGGTAAACTTTAGCCAACTCTAAAATATGTTATTTCTCTAGAAACAAGATCTAACTCCTTTTTTTGATAAAATTATTTTTGATTTTTGATTTTTTTTAATTTAATCTTTAAACTCCAAAGTCTTGGTGGAGTTTTTTTCATCAAGTTTTAAGATTTTGTCCTGATTAATCTGGATCGATTCGGATCGCACACCCAATTTTAGTGGGGGAGTCTCTTAACGGGAATTTTCATGATATCAAACTGGTCACTACTTGAACCGATCCGTTGGTACCTTGTGGAGTTTTTAATGGTAGAAAGGACCACTATAGCTAAGCCCCCACCCGACCAAATCGTCACAAATTCCACTTGGCCTTGTCCCTTAGAACATGGAGTAAATAATGGAACCTATCAGCAAAACCCCAAGGCCCTTTTCTTTCATAAAATCTACCTCTCTCGTGCACATACTAGACATGTTCATACACTTCTTGTCCCAACAAAAACAATCAATCCCAGAGGAAAAAATTTAGGCAAAAAATCAAATCCAACTATATATAACATCCTTAACATACCATCAAACACCTTGTTTTTATAACTTGCAAGAAAGAAAACAAGAGTTGACCCCATATCCTTCTTCAACAAGCAAAGGAAAAATGGAAATCGAATCGGCTAGATGCGAGTGTTGTGGACTGAAAGAAGATTGCACCCAAGATTACATCAATGATGTTAAGGCCAAATTCGACGGGAAATGGCTCTGTGGGTTGTGCTCGGAAGCTGTTCGAGATGAAGTGAGCAGGAGCAAGAAGAAGCAATTCGGCGTCGAAGAAGCCGTCGAAGCTCACATGTCGTTTTGCGGCAAATTCAGATCGAATCCAGCGGTTCGAGTGGCCGACGGTATGAGGCAGTTGCTGAGAAGGTCAGGGGATAATTCCCCTTCTTCTAAGAAGTTAACAAGATCAGCTACCACAAACTGTACTAATTCCTATTGAAAAGAAATGAAAGGTGAAAGGGAGGAAAGGCCTTTACCTTAGAATTATATTGGTAGCTTTACCTTTTACAACTTGTCTTGTGCAGGTGAATGTTATTTCAATGAAGGCTTCTTCCTCTGTTTTTCTGTTCTTTCCTTACCTCAAAGATCTCGACTTCGATTCGAACATTTTTGCATTTTCCCCTGCATTAGGCGATCGATGTTAACAGATGCAACACTAGTTATCACAATTTGTATCATCACAAAACACCCTCTCATGTTTCTTGGAAAACACGTCTGAGAAAAATCTTCAACAACCAAATTTAAGTATCCTAAGCAGGCATCCTCAACCAGCAAGGGAACTAATTTGATCATGTTCAATGTGATTCACTAAACGAGTTACCGATATGTTGACCTTATAATTGGTTTTTAGAGGTTCCATATGCATAATCTTATCGGTCAACCGATGACATCTGGGATCAGATTCTACATACGCAGTGAAATAAGCAACAGGTCCTGTCCCTGACGACAATCTCCTTCCCATGTACCTTTTAAACTAACTTCACATAGTTATGGATGTCCTGACATTGCTCCGGCTTTTCATTTTTCTTGAATTACCGTTGTCCGATTCGTGGATATGGAAATATGACCTCCAAAGATCCTCCATATTCATGGAAAAAGTTAAAAAAAAAAAATCTGAAAATATCTGTGACAGACACATACTATGCAATACTCACACCCTGAGTCCAAGTAACACATACAATGCAACTTCCCGTGACAGACACATACTAACCAATACTCACAGCCCCAGTAACACAGGTTTCCCTCATTGATGAGCACAGAAGGAAGTACTAATTTCTCACTATGTCATAGAGCAACAATTTTTTTTCTTCCTCTTCTAAATCATGCAGCAAACTATGGGTATTAGGTGCATAATCCTAGCAGCTTCAACTGTTTCAGTTCATATCTGCAACTCATTTCGATTCTATCCTACTGCATAAATGTTTAGTAATATGACAACGAGCCATAACAGTGGCTCCTAATTCAGTCTCGTCATGAATTTGACAAGCAGCCATTTGGGATCTCTAAACGGCACAACATGTGGTGCCAAAGGCAGTTTCACTGCAATCTCAACAGCTACAGTCAAGAGCTTAGCATGGAAGAAACGATTGACCATGGAGCTCTAAGTTCAGGTTTAGGAGGAATCATGGGATGCAAAAACATGAGCATGGCTACAAGCATAAACCACACTCACAAATGGACTCAACAGGGGCCTCGCCTCTCTCATTTAATGAGTATTATGAATCGGCAGAGCAGCTCCAAAACAGTTCATATCGACACAAACTAGAGCTTGTTCAATCTCACAATAACTAGAGCCAGAGATCGTTGCACGCCAAGCCACCAAGCCCTTTTTCGGTACTCAACTTGTGCGTATCGAATACCCGGAACCGTTACGATCAAGTTCTTCGGTGTCATGTGATCAAACAATTGCTGAGCCATATCCATGCAACCACAACTTGCACACTGTTAGCCAAAACAGCACCATCTTTTTTGAATAATGCAGTTATACTGCTTTCCCATAATTTAGATCCCCTTCACAATAACAAGCAGAAAGAATACTGAACATAACAAGTGCTTATACATGTCGTAATCAATTGAAATTGAATAAACAGGAAAACACATTTTCTCGAGAAAATGACATCATTCACTATAAACAAAAGCTTTATTCAACATTTGATTGCTCAAAATCATTATCTAAATCAAGTCACCATAGATCAACCGTTTTAAAAAGTACCAGCAAAAGCCATACGCATTTATCAGAATACTCGGTCCAGGCAACAATATTCCCGAACAGAAATTTTATCAAACACCAACCAGACATTTTGATATTATTTTTTGGCTTAATACCAAAATAAGTGTCCAAACTATACATAAATTCTAGAATAGGTGCCTAAATTATTTTTCGACCCATACAGGTGTCTAACATTACAAACGTTACCCATTTAGGTGTCCGGGCCGTCAACGACGTTAATTTCTCCGTTAAGTGATACGCTTCACAATCTATTGCTTCTAAAAATTTTATTTAAAATTAAAAAAATAAAATTACATATAGTTTTAAAGAAAAAAATAAATATTTTTTTAAATAACCCAAAAAACTTTGAAAACCTTCATTCAACCCCTAAACCCATGCCGACCGTCGCCCTTTGCCGTCGACGAAGCTCCACCCGACCTCATCTTCCCCCGGCGACACAAAACCCCCATGAAACCGTGACCAATCGATGGTTGATCTATGGTGACTTGACATTTTATACTCCGCGAACCCAACGATTAAAATCACGATCTCACGCAATCTCGACGGCCAATCAACGGCAACTACGACGGCGCATAACTAGAAGAATGGCAGGGACTACGTCAGCGGCGTTGGTCATGGTCGGAAGGGGACAACAGCAGGTTAAGGATAGGATTTTAGGTATTTTGGGATTTTCTTTTATAATTTAAGAGAAATAAGGTTTTTTTATGAATATAATAATAATATTTTTTTAAAAAAAATTAAAATCATCATATTGTGACATGTGTCACTTAATGTGAGAAATTAATATCATTAACGGCCCGGGCACTTAACGTTTGTAACATTAGGACCTAGATGAGTCAAAAAATAGTTTAGACACCTATTCAAGAATTTAGGTATAATTTGAGCACTTATTTTAATATTAAGCCTTATTTTTTTTATCAATGCAACCAAGTATCAATAAGTTCAACCCATGGCTTCACTTGAGATGCAAATCATCATTTTTGTTGTATTTCTTCCACATTTTTTCTTTATCAAATTCATTGATCCAAAAAGACAATTGTGACATCTTTTTCTCCTTTTTGCTTTTTCATTATCTACTTCACATTATTCAAACCCAGTTTCACCATCAATGTTCTAAATCACCAGTTGCCGAACCTGTACTCATCTTAATCTATCCTGATACATTCCGAACCTGTGCACATCTTCATCTACCCTGATACATTCCGAAAACTCCAAAAACGAGACGTTTCATGCATGTCTTCTTCTTCCCAAAGTGACATAAACTTCCATCTTTCTAGCCTCCCACTGAGAGGTCAGTTCCAATTATTCAGAGTATCTTTGTGGGGCTAATGGCCATGTTGGTTGCGTTATTGTTGCAGCACCCAACCTTTAGGTCCCCAACCTCTGGATGTCCGGTGGGGGAGAACCGAAGGACTAGGACCAGGGTGATAGACATAGTTTGCATATTTATATTCGACATCCGTGTTTGACCGATATTTAACATAATTCTGATTGAATTTAGTATCATGAGTCGAATGATACGAACAGAGTATATAAAGGCCAAATACAGATTATAAGTTTATTATAACATTATACTAATTCCCAAAGTAAGTTAAAATACAAACACTAAATGATAGTGTCAATTTGAGTTCCATATTCCCCCACTGATAAAGTAAAGCAAAATAACAGTTTAATTATCATAACCACCTTAGCAGACAATGACATTGTGGTTTTTCAAAGGGCAAACCCTTTTAGGGGAGCAAATCTAGCAAGTATTTCGGCCTCACGCCTTACTCCGCTTTCCTTCTTTAGCTCCCATTCTGGTTTTCTGGCGTTAGCGAGCTGAACTTCATGTACAACTTTCGGGATTGAATTTGCCACCAACTTTTGGTTGTGAATCAATTCATCCTTGTCTCTCTTCTTCTTATCTATCAGCTTTGTGACCTCGGCACGACGAGCTTCAAGTTGTGCTATCTGATTGTCGATGTTTTGCACAGCCATTGTGGTGGAATCTACCTCGAACTGCAGATTTGTTACTACTTGTTTTATCTCACAATATTCTTGTTTCAGTGAAGTAACCTTGGCCTTGTTTTCCTTGAGGGTTCTAAAGAACTGGTCTGCCTGCTCCATTACTTCCCTATTCTCGAGGAACACGATGCCGAATGTTGGAATCTCTTCTATTAACTTCAGCTTTACAAGTTGTTCGGCAGTCAGGGTAGGATCCTTCTGGAGTTTGGACGCAAGACTCGCGAGTTCATCAACATCTTTGATGCAAATCAGTGAATGGAAATCCATATTAAGAAACGACGATAGTTTCCTTCGAGCTTCAGCCATTTCTACTTCTGCTGCAAAGAAGTTGTGCATCGTTGCCGGGTGGTAAAATGGTTCTTGAAACCAAGGCTGAACAAGTATCTCATCCAAAGAATTGAGGTAGTTGTCGAACTCCGCTGCAACCATTCAAAAGGCAAATGAAAGGAAGAAACAAAACACCATTTTCAAAAAGATGTAAACATTACAAATTCTAACCTCTTCCCATTTCATTGTCTAAGAAAGACACGTCGAGACCGTCATTTGTATCTTGAATTTCGGATGGGAGTGGGGCGGAATCTTTAAGTTGCAGGTGAGTCTGTTGCTTAGGTCCGGCTAATCCTTTAGTTGTCTTCTGCATCTTTTTACCGTCGCTGGAACTCTGAGTACTTAACGGGGAAGTGTGAGGAGCCCTCTTCCTTTCAGTTGCATGGGGAGTCACTTTGTTAATTTGTTTTTTATCATCTCCCATTTCTTGTGCTGGTACAGAAGGTGTGGGAGCTGGCATTCATCACATAAAAAGAAAAGAATCATTTTTGTTAAGTTATCGAGAGAAAACGAGCATCATGTAACTTCGAAATTCCCAGAAGAGTGAAGAATTATGTTTAAAAAGATATCTTATTGAATGTAACATGGACTACTATTTCAACAGTGTCTCTATAGGCCTATACCTAGATGAAACAAGAATGAGGGTCGTTGGATCGACACGGATAATTGCACATCATTTCAAACTTGACATGATGAAATGTTTACGGATTCTTTCTGCGAGAAGGTATTCACGAATGTATTACATCTGGTCAACTTAGACCGTGAGAAAATAGTTCTGCTAAAATGTTCTTATGGGAGTCACACAAGATATAATTCGAAAATGGCTAACCAAGACATAAATCAGGACAACTCATGTAATTAGAGAAGTACAAATAAACCCTTGTTAAGACAAGGACTACGTAAAATCCTAGCACATAGCGAGACACGAAATTATCCTTATACGAGCAGGCACTTGCTTCGACAGTATAACTGGCACATAGCTAGACAGTAGACCAATCTTAAAATTCAGGTAAGGCTTTTGTGGAGCTACTAAAGTGTTACGGCAGGCCAATAGAAAAAACCTCTCCTTGGAAAATGCCAAGGTGATTCTCATTGCCATGAAATTTTGACATAATATTCAGTTCACCAATGCAGACATAACACGAGATAAAAGAAGCCTATAAGTTCAACCAGTAGTAGCAATAAGCAGATTAATTCTCAGTTCATGGGTCTTTTAGGAATGCAATCAATGACCTTTGATTAGCATATTTGATTAGGATGGCTGAATCTATGTAAATTGAACTTGGGTGCAAGAGTCGGATATGGATGTGTCCAACACGGGTATATTCATGTTTTCTAAGTTTTCCATGTACATCAAGATATAGGTCGGACATGGATCGAAGAGACAGGGTAACATAAGGCAATAAATTATTGACTGATATCCATGTCAACGACTAAAATACCATTCTAAATATATCAACATAGTTTAGCAACAACAATTTCAGAAGCAATAAAAATAAAATTTCTTTCTTGAACAGAATCATTATAAATTGTATAGGCATACAGTTAATCACAATGTAAGCATAATATGGACCTCTCAAGTTCAAGTTTGTGCCTAAAAGGGAGAGCAGCTGATAAAGTCACGGTTTCATTTACATATACTAAGACAATTTCCAGATGAAACAAAAGAAAGCAATGCCAACCATCATCATGGTGTTATACCCTAAATTATAAGGCTATATCATTCATAAGTGAGTACACGTAGAAGTTACTTTAAGGACATCAATCGAGTGTAACTACAACCGGCATCCGAATGCTTTCGTAATTACACCCTATTGGTCATATAAGAAGGATGAAAGAGGTTTGAAGAAGCATAAAATGCTATAACAAGATCCGCAACCAAGTTATATGCAAATGCAAAGGATGGAATCTAAAGATTTGACTCCTTTGATCCCAATACCCCTCAAACGTTCCATAATTAGATGCTAAAAGATATAATCAATATGCATTCCAAATTTCTTCCTACCAAAAAAGAGAAGAAAAAGATGGGTTAGAAATCAAATTTCCTCACAAGATGGATAAGGCAGCGACACAACGGCAGGAATCTTCCAAACAAATGACGCAAAGAACGCATTAACATCTGTATCTGGGAAATTCGATCGGAGAAAACGTTCAAGTGATGGCTTGCTTGAAAAGACTTTTGGAATATTAGGCTTTCGGAGGCTTTTCGGAACCTTGAGAAATCTATCACTGTAGAAGCCATAACTGTTGACCTTCCTCCCCACTCTCCAGCTCCAAATATCACCAACATTTGGCCAATGTATAGGTGCATAAGGTAATCCTTCTCCACTACTACCGGGCAGAACTCGTGGAAGGGAATTATTTTCTTTAGTTACAGGCGCACAATGGCTACCTCCATTATTGATATCATTTCCCGGAAATTTGTGTTCCGGCTCACTCGGAGGGGAAGCTGGTCCACCAAAATAACTGCAATTGAGACAAAATTCCAATCAATAAAACACAATCAACCACATTTAACATACAAAGCTACATCTTCTAAACTACTTCAAAATCATATGAACACATGACGAACTACTCATGTTACTCAGTTTCCGAACCCGGTATGTTCAATTTCAGTCTATTTGGAGGGTTATCTCCGACTCCCATATCAGAACATGCATGTCAAAATGTGTACAGGTCACAGGTACTCCTAGAAAAATGAAAAGCCTGAGCAACATACACCAGAACAACTAGAACATTGTTTATTGTATATACGATTGCTTGTTTTTTTTTTTTTTTTTTTGCATGTTTTAACAGTTTTCTTCTTCACTCCATCATTATCGGATTAAGCTCATCCAACAGCAAAATATGTAAGAAATTGAGCAAATAGAAGCACTGAGCCAACAATTGAGTGGAGATATTAAGCTAAAAAAATACTTACTCTGGGAAGATTTCTTGATGGATATCTATGTGTGGGATCCCCAAATCAGTAGGGTTCTCATTATTAGCGAAAGTACCCATATGGGACGGAGAAGAAATCGGCATCATTAGGGCAAATTTCTCAGTTTGACCTGCGAAAACAGAGCACCCCAAAGATCAAAACAAGGAAAATTTTGATCTTTTGAGAGGTTTCATTTCTGGAATTACAAGCTGACATATGCAGGATACCAGATCAGCGATTTCGAGGTCTTGTATGCGCAGTTAATCGATTTTTGCATAAAGTTATTACAATTTAATGTTGATGTAATAATATTTTTTTTAAGAAATGTAATACTTATAAAAAATATAATATTTTTAATTTAATAATTAAAGCTCTGATTTTTTTAAACTAATACTATTCCTCTTTAATTTATTAACAATTATTCTAAAATTTAAATTTATATAAATAGAGAATTACTATATCGTAATTATATTCTGTTCAAATAATTAAAATTCTCAATAAATATAATACAATTATTTTTTTAATAATTATATTTTCATACAGGTCCAAATTGATGGTGTGGGTTAAGTTTTCACTTTTCATCACACGGGGTTACAAGGGGAACATCTCCCTCTTGCTAAAGCTATTTAAAGCAGCATAATCCTCAAAAGCAAAGAGCTACAAAATATTTCTCCTCGGCTAGTGCTGTTTAGAGGGAAAACCCTTTCAGAGGAGCAAGTTTGGCAAGTGTTTCGGCCTCGCGCCCTACTCCGTTTTCCTTCTTCAGCTCACATTCCTTTCTTTTCGCATTGGCGGTCTGAACTTCGTGTACGACTTTTGGAATCGAGTTCGCAACCAGCTTCTGGTTATATATCAGTTCATCCTTCTCTCTTCTTGTTATCTATCAGTTTCGTTAGCTCGGCACGTTCTGCTTTTAGTTCTGCTGTCTTGTTGTCGATGTCTTGTACGGCCGTTGTGCTGGAATCCATCTCGGACTGTACATCTGTTACTTCTTGTTTTAAACTTGCTGTATTCTTGTTTCAGTGAATTGACCTTGGCCTTGTTGTCCTCGAGGGCGGTAAAGAACTTGTCTGCCTGCTCCATGACTCCCTGATTCTCGAGAAACACCTCGCAAAATGTTGGGATCTCTTGTATTAACTTCAGTTTGACAAGCTGTTCGGCGGTAAGGGTGGGATCCTTCCGGAGTTTGGACGCTAAACTGGCAAGATCGTCGAGGTCTTTGAAGCAAATCAATGAAGGGAAATCCATATCCAGAAGTGAAGATAGTTTCCTTCAAGCTTCGGCCATTTCATTTTCTGCTGCAACGATGTTATTTGTCGCTGCCTGCTGGGAAAACGGTTCTTCAGATGGTGGCTTAATCGGAAAAAGAATTTCATCTAAAGAATTGAGGTAGTTGTCGAACTCCGCTGCAACCATTTCAAAAGGCAAACAAAATATATAAGCAGCGAAACACAATTTTCAGGAAAACGTAAATATTCCAAATTCAAACCTCTTCCCGCTTCATCGTCTAAGAAGGACACATCATCAAGACCATCATCATTTGCAGCTTGAATTTCAACTTCAGGTGGGGAGGAATTTTAAGGCCCTGGCGAGTTTGTCGCTTAGGTTTGGCTGATCCTTCAGGTTTTGTTGATCCTTAAGATTTGGCTGATCCTTCAGGTTTTGTTGATCCTTTAGATTTGTCTGATCCTTCAGGTTTGGTCGATCCTTTAGATTTGGCTGATCCTTTAGGTGTCTTCTGCTTCTTTTGATTGTCACTGGGAGTCGGAGTCGGAGCAATGAAAGGAGAAGGCGGAGGAGCCCTCTTCCTATTGGTTCTACGTGCAGTTATTTTGTCGATTTCTGTTTTGTCATCTCCCACTTCCTCTGCTGGCGTTGCTTCTGCTGGGGCTGAAGGTGTGAGAGCTGTCATTCATCACGAAAAAGAAAATTAGTCGAGAAATCAAGAGAAAATGAACATGGACAACTATGTCAATGATTTCCATATTCCTAGATGAAACAAGAACGAAAGACGACGAATCGACTTGGATAAACTGCACTTCACCTCAACTTGACACGATGAAATGTTTATCGATTCTTTCTGAAAAAGTGTCTGAAGCCTGATTTACATTACGCCAACTTTTTCTGTGAAACGAAACTTTAATTTAATGAACAAAATTAAACGAGGAAGCAGATGAGACCGGAAGAAATTAAAGAACAAAGACATCATGTAAAAGAAACTGTAAGAAAATAAAAAAAATAAAAATAAAAACAACACAAAAGAACATCGGATTTATGTGGTTCGGAGAGAAAAACTTCATACATTCACCCGCAACAATATGCCTTAAATGACACTGATACTCCAGGAAAAATAAAGAATCGGAGCAACACAGGCTGCTATGCTCGCTATTCGATGAATACAGCATAACAACTAGAAGAACATTGTTCCATACTTGACCATTTCGGCACGTGAATGATGATTTATCCCCAGGTTCGGAAATATAAGATTTCGTCGGTAGCTAATTACTATAAACGATCCAATTCCAGCTAGCTTTTACATTGTTAAAGATAGGGTTAGATTCATATGCAGCCCTTCTACATCAAAGTTACAGAACCAAAACAAAACTAATGATGAAGCAAACAAAACCCTAAAATGTCCCCCCAAAAAATGATAACCTAGGCATTTCCAGAACATTCTCAGAGCAAAGAAATTCGACATCCCTAAATTGAAAATTCTTCAATTTCGAGTGAATAGTATATATTTTTTAGTCGAATCTAGTTAACCAAAAACTCGACATGACCCGACCCATGTCCATCCCTACTCACGCCTTTTATACATATACTTTTGTTGTAAGAGTTTAATATCAACAACAACGATTAGGAGTACTCTTCTTTCCTACGTAATTAGTATCAGATTTAGAATTTATAAAAAAAAATCAACAACGATTAGTTTAATCTTTAATATTTTTAGTTAACAAACATCAAATTCATGTTCATAAAGACAAAACGAGTTTAATGAAAAAAAATCTCAGACTCAACGACTGTCGACGATGACGGACGAAACAACTATCGTTACAATAACAATTTAAAAAAATTAACATAGAAAAATTAAAAACAATTGAAACATTGTGCATTGACTAGTTGTTAGCTTATAAGGTAGAAACCCAAGGCCTCAACTACTTAACCATTTGTTAGCGTTATATAAAGCTTCAATCTTTGGGGGTCCAAAACTATACAAAAGCAAAAGATCTTTGTGGTCCAATAAAGCTGAATCTCTCACAAGGACCCTTCCTTCTCTTATTTCTAAAGACAAAAATTTATTTATTAATTACTTTTTAAATTATTGCTATATTTAATAATATATCCTAATCTAAAATAATATAATTTTATTCAATTGAGGTTGATTCGAGTGATAAATAATTTGATTTCGTTTAATTAAGATCTCATGGCCGAGTCCCTACTGGAAGACTTACCCACTAAAATTAAGTGTGCAACCCGACTCGATCCAGATTAGCTCGAGTGAAGTCAAAAAAAATTAATATAATTTTATTTTTAATTATTTTTATAACATTTTCAAAGCACACAAGAGGCAACTGCAGCTTAATAGTAACACCAAAAGGAAAATCTTTGTTGCTCTCTCTTTAGCCCAGACCAGTGGTTTTCTTTTTCACCCATTAAAACCCCACACTGCCACCATTTTCTCTTTCAGTTTCTGGTTTTTTTTCCTTATTCAATCATCTTCAACAATCTATTTTCTTAGATTACGAAAAGATGTCGAATATGTTCTCGAAATTCTTCCCTCTCTGCTTCACGAACCTTAAATCAATGGATAAATCAGTGGATGCGTTCAAGAACTTCAACCAAAGTTGTCAACTCTCTTCTTCTTCATCGTCTTCAACCTCCGACAAGTCCCTTTCGACACCCTCCACTCGCACCGTCGCCACGATCGAATACTCCGATTCCGACTCGGCTCCAGATTTCGCCACCGTATTCGCTTCCCAGCGTTTCTTCTTCTCTTCGCCGGGTCGATCCAACGCCATCGTCGAGTCACCCGATACAAGGCCCGAACCCGAGACTAAAACACCGGCAGCGTCGGTGGCGATGGATGGAGGCGTTGCGGTGAAGAAGTACTCGCCGGACCCGTGCAAAGATTTTCGAGTATCGATGCTGGAAATGATCGAAGCGAGGAACTTGACCGATGTGAACAAGGAGTGGGAGTTCTTGCATGAACTACTCCTTTGTTACCTTACTTTGAACCCAGAAAACACCCATAAGTTCATCTTTAGTGCTTTCGCCGACATTGTTGTTTGCTTACTCTCGTCACCGGAATCCGATGCACCGGGAAACCACGGCCGATGATACTCTCTCTGTACGCTTTTTCGATTTCCTAGTAAAAATTGGCGGTTGTTTTTACGTTTTGGACTCTTCTTGCATGGGGATGTTGATATCTCGAGACACTGTAATTTTGGCTGTTTTATAGCTAAGCATGCAAAGAAAATGGTGTACAAGATAATATTTTTTTTCTAGTGAAGTGTTCCCCCATGGATGAATATGGTGATTTCTTGGGGAAGACGAAGTTCTTGAGCTTGTGTTTTTTGTGTGGTCCATGGAATGATGAAGTTTTCTTCATTTTTTTGCACACAAAATCACGAGGTTGGCTGTGTTTATGGGGTTAGGTTTCGGACAAGTTAGCTGCTACATGTCGGGTCCATGCAGTGATGATTGTTGTAATAATTAAAGTCCCGATCAAATGGCATGGTTAGTTTGATATCGCTTTAAGTAATGTCTCGAGTTCTTTAGTATACAGAAAATCTCTATTGAAAGATGCACTCACTAAAACTAGGTAATCGACACGAATCGATCCAAATTAGTCAGAGTCAAACCTTAAAATCGAGAGGATAACCAAAATAAAGTCCCAATCTAAGCATAGAGTTGTGCATGTTTGTAGTTATTCAATGACAAATAATGTAGCTAAACAAGAGAATTGCATTAGCAAAGAAAGTTTATATACGGTGCTCTAGTTTCAATGGTCTTCTGTCTCCAAGTGAAGTTTTAATTTGTTGCAATAATTAATTTTAGGAGTCAAATTATTTCAACTTCATCAAATACAAAATATACAAATTTAAAATTTTGAAAATATTAATGTTTAATTCAACCAATATTTTAATTAGAAGAAATCTAAAACACTACTATATTATTTTTTTAGAGACATGATGTTTTTAGGGATGGTAACGAGTCAGATTGAATCTAATTTTCAGTTGATCTAATATGAGTTTAAAAGGGTTTCATATGATATAAAATTCAATATGAATTTTAGAGTAAAAACTTAGATCCGACTCAACCCAATTAGGTAATTTTTTTCTTATGGGACGTTGGAAAAAAATTATTGGCTTGTATAGGGCCTCGTCACAATTATTTTGTGAGATCGGGTGAATGCTATAGTGCCGAGGAAGACACTGGAAACACAATTAATGTGTCTTCCTCATTGTTCACCCAATTGAAACACCAAGACTTCTAAAATAAAAAGACAAGAGGCGCACTGCAATTACCCCGTCTTCTCGAAGACGCATGGTGTTCTCGGCGTCCTCCAACGAGTACTGTAACATTCACCCCATCTCCGAAAATAATTTCGACGAAACCCTATACAAGCCAATAACATTTTTCAACGCCCCATAGAAAAAAATTGCCCAATAAAATAGGAATCTAATAAAAAATATATAGAGAGAAGTGAGTATTATAACAATTATCTCTCTAAATATATAAAAGAAAATCATACTATTATCATTGATTGATCATAGAGTTTTTAACCTAATTTTAAACTCGGTCCGATTCAGTTTTACTTTCTACAAAACATGACCTGACTCGACTCGAAAAAATATTTAACTTTATTGGGTAAGAATAAAACACGTTAGATTCGAATGGATTTGTCATCTATAATACACGAGAAGGTTTAAGTAAAATATATTAATATTTTTATTTTTCATGTTTATTTACGGTATATGTTTGAACTTCATGATGGATCCTTCCAATAATAATTTATAATTTAAACAAGCATGAGATTATCTCCTTCAAAATACATTTTAATATATCAATATACCCAAATCCTTGTTGCTAAAATATAATTTTAATGATATGTTCTTAATAAATAAGATTTAATGTGTTACAATTCGAATTTAATCATTGGAATTCCTCAATATACGAGTACTTAATATATTATCATTATACAGTATACAATGACAATGAATCACACATTTTATTAAAGGGTAAAGTACACGAATGGTCCCCTGACTATATGATATTGTTTTATTAAGTCCCTTGACTATTAAAAGTTGCAAAATGGTCCTCTGACTATAGATTGTTGCTTTGTTTAGTCCATCAACTATCAAAAGTTACAAAATGGTCACCCGACTATTCATTATGTTTCAAACTCGACATTTTCCGTTAAAACATTGATGATATTATGAGTAGAACGTTAACTTATTGACTGTGATATGATACAATATGATCTCGGAATCTCAAACAACTATCACATCTCAATCATCATCATGTTAACATCCAGCTTAGACAACTGCCAATATTTAATGGAAAAGGACGAGTTTGGAATATAATAAATAGTCGGGTGACAATTTTGTAACTTTTGATAGTTGAGGAACTCAACAAAATAACATTTTATAGTCAGATGATTATTTTGCAACTTTTAATAATCGATGAACTTAATAAAACAGTACCCTATAGTCGGGGACCATTTGTATACTTCACCCTTATTAAAACCCCCCTCAAGAAACATCTAGATGCCATAGAAATTGCAAGGAGGATGAAGAATAATATTTGAGAAAATTAAGGGAGTGGTTTGCTCTTTTAACATTTTTCAATGTGCTTTGAAGCTAAAGAGGGAGACAAACTAAGGGGATCCAAAGAGAGATGCTAACAACTACAAGAAAATAGTGGATTAAATAATTTAATTTCGTTTACCTTTTAATTAATTAATAGTCCCTAAAGTAAGCTGGTTTAGGTAATGTTAAAACCAGACCATTTGTCCTTAAGTGTCTCCCCCCAAGCTCTTGAGTCCTTTCTAGACATTTGGTGGGATAAAAAAGTACCCTAAAACCAATGCAAAAATAGGCAAATTTAGTTTATATTAAGACAATGAGACATGTTTATTTGGAAAGACAACACCAATGGAATAATTATAGTACTTTGGTTTTTATTATTATTAGATTAGACTTGAAACCTTTAAGTTTTTTTACTTAACTATGTTTTTATATTTTAAAATTATTTATTGATTTATCTCTTTTATCAATATTGATCATTAAATTTTATAATTTTTTTAATCAATTGGTATTAATACCATGACATTGTCAAGCTATAAATTTATTCATTTTTTAATAAAATTTTAGAATTGTTATATTTTTGTAGTTCTTTTTTTCTTAAAGAATCTGTAAATTTAATGCGATAGAATTACAATGTACCTTGTGACACTAATGTATCGAAAAAAACAATGGGTAAATTACATGTTTAGTCTCTAAATTATTAGTTTTGATCCATTTTAGTACGTTGACTTTCATTTTTTTCAAAATCATACCTAACGTTTAGTTTTTGTTTCATTCTAGTATCTCGCCGTTAAAAATTAACTGCACATTATTTTTATGGGTAAATTACATCATTCATCCTTCAATTATATTCTCACTCCTATTTTGGTACTAAAGTATAAAAATTTTGAATTTAACTACTCAACTTTCAAACTGCTCCTATTTTAATCATTCTAATTCATTTTTTTAATAATTGTTGTGACACAACATTTTTATTATTATTTTATTAATATATAATTAAAAATAAAAAATAAATTTGAAAGTTCGAGTAATTAAATTAGGAGTAATTTGAAAGTTAAGTAATTAAATTAAAAAATCAAACTTTAATGACCAAAATAGGAGTGAGAAAATAGTTGAGGTAGAATGATGCAAATTATCCTTAAAAAGGTGCCATGTGCAAATCACCCCTTAAGTTTTTAACAGCGAGCTACTAAAACGGAACAAAAACTAAACGTTAGGTATGGTTTTGAAAAAATAAAAATTTAGGTGCTAAAACAGAGCAAAATTGGTATTCTATGTACTAAACACGTAATTTACCCATAAACAATTAAGACTCAACAATTAAAATTGATCAGATGGTTTAATTGATTAATTTTTAGTTCAAGAACTTAGTTGATTCAATTTTTCGATTTGAAGACTCAATTGGCTACAAAAAAGTCTAGAGGCTTGATTATTTTTTTCTTAAAAGTTTGGGGACTTCGCGTATCATTAAGCCATTAGATGATTAGTATTGTTTAAGTGAAGGAACATGGATTGACCAAAGAAGATAACAAGAAAATGGATTGAAATGGGAAAGGGTTGATAGTAAGAGGCCAAGTGTAGAGTTTAGGTAAGTAGGCATGAGCAAGTAGTGCCAATTAATACAACAAGTTTGTAGAATCTTAACATTGTTTATGGATTAGGTTTATAAGTAAAAGACAATTGTTGGACCATGAGCATGCACAATACAAGGGTAAAACAAAATGCTTGGAGCTTTTGGCTTTTGTTGTCTATACATTGTTTTAACATGATGTTATAAAAATCGGATCGCTACCGACAACCAATTGATCTAACGGGATAAAATATTAGATCTCTTAAGTAAGATCAGGGGTTCAAATCCTGGCGATTGTGAATAGAGTAAACTGGATTGGGAGGGTCGTCATTGCCTCTGCATTACCCTATTCGGTGGTTATGTAAAAAAATAAAAATTGGATCACCGGTCAAACTATTCAGATTATCAATCTTTTTATTTGATCGATCGATTTAATATTAATTAAATAAAATATAAAAATTCATTAAAAATAGTTTTAAATTCAATTCAAATAATATATTCTTTATGTTTTTTGGGTGGTTCACAATAATTCTTTGTATACCTGATTCTATCACATTATTAGTTAATACATGATATTAAACCTCCATGTAACGACCTAGAATTTTTGAGTTAATCTACTAGTAATGACTCGAGTCATGGATTGATAATTTAATATGCATTAGTAAATTCTTTAATTAGGTTTTGGGCATAACAAACTAAGAATTGGGCTCAATCGACTTCTAAGAAAGGACTATTTAATATGGATTAATTATGGGAGGACCAAAAGTATAGTTTAACCATTGAAGAATGATTCTCATTTAAAATATTATTTAAAAAATTTAACATACAAAAATTAATGAAGTACATCGATATGTGTCCTTTGATCATATTAATTTATAATTGTCATCGGTAGAGTTTTTAATTTTATTTTTATGATCCAGCTAAACTAATTATCCACTTTCGATTTAACAGTTAAAATTATTTTGGTCCAATTATAGCAACCGTACAAATATAATATATATATATATATATATATATATAAAGGCAAACTATGTACAGGGCTGGCCCTGGCCGGGGCAGGAGGGGCGTCCTCCCAGGGTCCATAATATTTTCATAGTGTATATTAATTTAGAATTATAAGATTTTGTATAATTAGGGGTCTATTTCTTTTATTTTGTCCCGGGTCAAAAAAAATATAAATAGGGGCATATTTCTTTTATTTCGCTCCGAGTCAAAAAATACCCAGAGTCGGTCCTGACTATGTATTTAGTCACTTAACTATTCATGTGATTTGGTTTTGGTTATGCAACTATTTTTTTTTCAAAATCGTATATATATATATATATATATATATA